TAAATAAATAGAATAAAAGTATAAATAAATAGAATAAAAGTATAAATAGATACACTAAGTGGAATATGACATAGGTTGGGTATTGTTAAAATGGGACACTTTTGAAAATTTCCTTTCTGGAAAAAATTACAGAACCATCTCAATATCTTGATACCATTCTAAATACATTAATGCCCCTAGAACACTATATAGAAGAGAAAATAAAGTATTACTAAACACATATATTTATTGCAAAGTTTAACTGTCCCATTTTTCCAGGTATCCCATTTTAGCAATACTCACCCTGCTTAACATAATCTGTGATTACATAAGTAGTTCTGCATGTGACAAAACAGACCCCTTCCTAAAATCTACTGTAAATAGTCTAATGTTGCCCTTGTGCCTTATCTCAGCTTAACATATTCCCTTTTATATGGGTCATAAAATGAATGTGTAAAATACAATCTAACTGTGAATATGAAATACGTTAAGTATCCTATTGTTACCGGTTATTATGTCAGACTGTGTATCAAAATCCAAATTTATATAACAATCACATTGTTTATGATTGAGATCCTTTTTACATGCATTAATGACCGCTTGTTCACTCACTCAGACACTGTTCGAAATAATGCGAAGCATCCCACCGAATATACACACCACGAAAAATGCATCGCAAATCTTAAACTACAAGGCATTGCCTTCGGGACAACGACAGTCATTATCAGTTATGATAATAGTTGTTTGCAGATCTAATATCTGTCAGAACCGCCTTATCACGTTAAAACCATGTGTCGACTATAGATATTAATACTAATATTCAAATATTAATATTACACAGAGAGACACTTACTTCCAACGTCCAGCCTGGTACCGCCGCCGAAAGTGTACCACAATGATTCATGGCGCATCAGCCGCCGTACAAAAACCTCGCAGCAGCGCAGTACAGGGAACTAACCGTTATATAGGCGACCTAATATTATGGGTATGTTAGGTTGAGTGAAAATGTCACGTTTTCTGTCACTTGAACAAACTAAGTATGCTGATAACAACAGAACTTAATTGTGCGTATGTGTTAAAGATTTTTACTTGCATAATTACTATAAAAAGCTGGATACTTACTGCCAACATCCAGTCTGGTCCCGCCGCCGAAAGTCCACCACAGTGACTGAATCTGATTGACACGCCGTACAAAAACCTCCCAGCGCTACCCTAGTGAAAAAAAAGTATACTTTATTGTATTTGTAATATATTTCCTGTTTCAATAGTACATTGCAAATATACTAACCAAAAACTGTACTTTCTTTAAATATATAAGTGTATTACCACCATGCTTTTACCTATTTTCACAATACAACTTTTAACACACTTTAAAATAATTGTAATTTAGTATATTTTCTAAAAAATATATTTTCTAAAAATATACTTGAAATATAGTTTTGTTTGTTTTTAAAAGTGTATTTATTTGCGCCTTATGTAAATATATTTTAGTATTATTTTTAACTGTGTGCTGAAATGTAACAATGCATTGAAAGTATACTTTTAAAGTACATTATTAAAGAACTTGTTAGTATGCTTTAAGTTAAATTTTGGAGTCATTTTTAAGTGTACTTCTTCATGCTTGCAACGGAAAGTAATAAAACATATGATACATGCATTTAAAGCCCATTTAAAACATTATTAAATGAAGTGTATGCATACAAAAGGCTACTCTTGTAATTGTGATTTAAGTATTTTAATAAATTTATACAATGTCACAGAGAGGTCCATGTATATCAATGCATTTATAATTTTATACCAACAGCACACCATACGAACACAAGAAAAATTGTTCTACTGGACAGGAAGTTCAGCTACTAGTTTGTGATGTCACAAGTACAGCCAAGTAAACACTATTGCATGGCCAAAAAATTGAATTTCACTCAAACTCTGTCTTAACAGATTATATCATAATCAGTGTTCAACATATCATTATTGATTTTAGGAAATAAATCTGAAAAACAACAATTGGCACTGATATCTGTAAAGCTACAGAAGTAGTTCCCCAGGAGTCAGTTTGTAGTCTCTTTTGGTCTCTTTCTAGTCTTTTTTAGTGTCTTTCAATGTTGTTTGGAAGTGGAATGACATACAGTTTGTCCTTAGACCTAATCATTACACATTTACGTTTGAGTGATTGAGGAGCGACAGCAAACACATTATTGGTGTGAGACACTTCATATATAAATGTTGAGGATATATTCAGCTGAACATCTCTATACAACTTTCCTCCACTCTTGGCAAGCTCTTTAACTAAAACACAGAATCTGTTGCTGGTGGATGCAGATGATGCCCCATCCTCACGCGTTAAATCCACCAGGGTCATAATTTCACAGAATGTTCCGTCACTTAACTGTACAACTGAATTGTTTCTCTTTTTCAGAGTCGTGTTATTGCAGGAATGATAAAGCACACTGCTACAAGTGAAACGGTCATAAAATAAACCCGAATTAACTGTGTCACCAGTAAAGTCTTCAATAGCCATCCTCTGCAGCACAGATGTGGTACTTTTCTTCGGGCAACCAAAACCTCTGACATTGTCTTGAAACTTCTTTGACTTCTGTGTTAAGCCAGATCTACATTGGAGTTTGTCAAATAATTTTTGTATGTTTTCATTTGCATTTCCCATTGTAGTGCCTGCTTTTGCTGAGAGAGCCCTCCACCTAAGGAATCTCTTAACTACCTGATCAAGCACATGTGTTGTTCCGTTGCAAAACTTAAGCAATGTTCCATTAAACGATTCAAATGGAAATGTGGATGTTGCCCACAGTGGTCCCCAGTTGCGCACACTTGCTGCTAAGTGCACCAACAAATGCACATTGAAAGAAACATTACTAGCACTATAAAGTTTCTCAAAGTTGCACACAAACTTTCGAAGAGCTTGTTCTGCCATATCCACATGGTTTGCTTTGATGGCATCATGAAGAAGAGTGTGCATTGAAAAAACTAATAAAAAAAGATGATTCCAGTACTTCTTTTTCAAAATACTTCTCAAAATAGGCAAAGCATAAAACAACAAAAATGACCTCCATTCAGAAGCTTTCCAGAATTTTCTCTCTTTCACTGATCTTGGGGACCTTGTGACTTCCAAAGGTGGGTTAATGGACATGAGTCCCTGGTCTATGTCACTGATGTTTGAGCCCAAGTACCAGTCTTCCTTATGGTGCTTACTGTCCAGCCACAGTGATGTTATCTGTTTAGTAACACCAAGGCAGACACTGTGCTGGTACTCTGGGACGAATCCTGTGATCATGTTAAAGCTCTCAAGTTCCATCAAAGGTGATGGTCCTTTTACACCCATTACTGGTTGAGCAGGTGTTGCCAGCATAGCATGCCGGAAATGATCTTTCTCTGTCCTTAAAGGTGGTTCTGGTGTTTCCCAAGTATATGGGCCACCACCGTAGTGGAGGCAAAAGTCACACCCATATTTTCCATTAAACTGCTTGGTGTTTCTCAGGAGGGGCCGGGCAATTGAATCAGAAGAGCAGAGGAGTGAATGAACCTTGCTTGTATGCTCTACATTTTCAGAGTCCCTCCATTGGATTCCAATGTGTTCTAGTTCCTTGAGCTGTGACACAAAAGCAGTTAAAAATGTTATCATATTTGGCTTGCTATTACCAACCCATAAGCATGGTACGCATATGTTCCTTTCACGATCTTTTGGTGACAGCTCAATGATTTGACACTGGATTGGCCATATCTGAACATTATTACTTTTAAAAACTGGAATTCCATCACAATTCCATATGATTGATATGTCATCAGGCCCCATTTGTCCACTCTGCTTGATCTTTTGATATTCTGCCCCACACTGAATATCAGAAACAATGCCTGGAATTGATTCCCTTTTATTCAAACAAATCTCCGTTTTTTCCAAAATATCAATTATTTGGGCTGATAGACTAAGTGCAAGAAAGTAAGATCCAGCCCTTAGGTTTTTCTCTGTGTCAAATTCAGCTTTACAAGACGTACAGTTTTGTGGTGCTGTCTCAGTAGCTCCCAAGTAGCTGTCACAGTTGATACAATAAAAATGTGGCACATACTGGCCAAATTGTCCATATGCTTTATGGAAAAGATATGAAGTTGCTGGCACCAAGCCAGGGAAATGTTCATTGAACATAGTTAGAAGATCCTGAAGAGCTACTTCTGTCAAATTGTGGCGCAGTACATACGACATGAGTAACAGCAGACTCTGTCCCTTTGTGAGAGGAGCACCAGGGTATACAGGATCATCTTCATGTTGTTTCTGTGTAAAAAGACAAGGCTGATCACATTAACTACTACAAAACAATATAAAACACAAGCAGAAATATTACTAACAGTGTTGTCCTTTTAAGACAGGTGGCTTAAAGAGTCAACATAAATTAACAAGATTGTTCTCTACGTACCTTCCTTTGGTTTGAATCTTCATTTCCTTGGCTCCTCTCTTTTCTGGGTATCTCTCCTTGTCTACTTCCATTTTCTTCTTCTCTGTCCTCTTGTTCACTTCCATCTTCTATGTCTCTGTCCTCTTGCTCATTTCCCCCTTCTTCCTCAACTTCCTCTTGTCCACTTCCATCATCTTCCTCTCCTTCCTCATGTCCACTTCCATCATCTTCCTCTCCTTCCTCATGTCCACTTCCATCATTTTCCTCTCCTTCCTCATGTCCACTTCCATCATCTTCCTCTCCTTCCTCATGTCCACTTCCATCATCTTCCTCTCCTTCCTCATGTCCACTTCCATCATCTTCCTCTCTGTCCTCTTGTCCACTTCCATCATCTTCCTCTCTGTCATCTTGTCCATCTCCGTCATCTTCCTCACCTTCCTTATTTCCACTTCCATCATCTTCCTCTCTGTCCTCTTGTCCATTTTCATCATCTTCTTCTCCTTCCTTAATTATATTTCCATCGTCTTCCTCTCCTTCCTCATTTGCATTTACATCATCTTTCTGTCTCTCCTCTTGTTCACTTTCTTTGTTGCTTTCAAGTTCACTGTTCTCTTCAGTAGGATTTGGAAGATGAATCTGAAACAAATGTACACCAAAGGTAAGTGCAGCTTCACAAAGCGAATTCAAAACAAAACAGCAGTATTTCAATACAGTCTAAATGTAATGAAATCAAAATATCAATAAACAGTCCACCAACACAGTCTGGGGCATAGAAGCTGTGTGAGGCCCATCCAAACACAAATGTCTTGTTGAACATTTTGGTTATCATGATTTATTTTTTATACATAATATTGTTTTTCACATTTACATACCTTTTTGTAAATTTTTCTTCTGTAAGCAGTTGTCTGGGAAATTGGAGATGTATAAAGATATCTCTTGTATAACAATTTCGTCTGTGGATACAGAACAAACAAAGTAAGTAACTTAAAGTAACCGCTATCTAATAGTTCAGTACTTGTGATGTCTCCTGTTTAACATTGTTGAAGTACAGTGATCTACAGTAAACATTTTAAATCCATTCATCTTCTGTCTAAGCAAAAGTGTATTTTTGTACACAAAAGTAAAATATTACACCAAAAATATTAAATAACAATATCCTCCTGGGACCCAGGAATACACTTTTGTCCACTGTAGTAGACATTATATTTTACTGCATTTCTCTGACACCACACATGCAACAGTTTTACAGGACAAGAGGATGTCCTGTAAAGAGCACATTTGGGTACTTTCAAAGATAGCAAATGTTTGAAAGTTTAAGCATGACAAAAACTTTTCCTTGGTCTTTAAAAATGACTGAATTAATTTAATGATTAAATGAAGCACTCTTGTAGAAATATAACAATATTTTTTAATTATCATTTAAATCGGACTCATTTTCAAACTGTTTGTCATAAATCAACATCTCAGAAAATGTTGTGGAGCATTTAATCCAAATATGACTTTCTGTTACAAAACAGGGCCACTGTAGAGGACACCAGGGGCCAATTGCATAAACAAATTTAGCCATTATGTTAAGACAGTGTCTTAAGTGATAGTATGACCAATTAGCGGTTGGGCAATCAGTGTAACCTTATATCATCAAATTAGACTAATCTCTGGTTTTATGTAACTGACTTAAAACAATTATGAACATAGAAAAAAATGTGATGACTAACTAATAAGACTAGTCTTAGCAGTTTATGCAGGATGTAAATCATGTTAACCCAGCAGTTTGGGAGGACACAACAAGTGAATAGGGAAAGTAATTATATATCAATATTCCTATGAAATATTGCATATTATTTTGAAAATGTTGGAAATTATTACTCCCAATATTAAACTTAATGTTTAATTACATGTTGCCCCAAGAACACAATAATATGCAAATTAGATACATTTTATTAAATGGGTCTGCCCATTTATACCATTTTGCCCACATATTGCATACATTAAAATAGTATATCAATTCATTCCGTTATGTCTTTCATAACATTAATAATAATCAGTTTTATACAAAGTATTCTAAAAAAATAAAATAAATAAATAATAATACAAAAAAACAAC